GGACGCCCCTGGCGGCGAGCGCGGGCCCCGCCGGCCGCTCCATCAGCTCTCCCGGAGCGCCGGGCTCCAGACTGCCTGGAGCGCTGAAAGAGTTAACCAGGAACGCCTCCCCGCTGTGGTTTTGTGGTCGAAACCATGATTGCCAGGAGCAAATTTTTGTCGTGCACAAGGTGTGTTATTAAAAGTCGGAGTTACGCTGCTGGTGAATGAAAAGTTAAAAGCCCTCATTAGGCTTGGGCTGTAAAGCAGGCGGACTGGGCCGAGGGGCTGAGACAGCCCTAACGGCGGCCCGGGGTGCGGGACGCTCCAGATGATCCTGCAGCTCCGTGGGCTGCCCTGGCCCCGTGGACGCCCAGCTTGTCTTCAGGGTCTGTACAGAGCAAGGGGAGGGACGAAAGGCCAGGGGTGAAGCTCAAATAACACCCCAAACTCGCCTGCGTTGAAAACAAAGCAACAGCCACGCATTTACTGAGTGCGCACTCCACAGTAGGCTGTGTCGGGTGCTTGGTAAATTACTGTCCCGTGGAAGCCTCCAGCGATGTAGTGAGCGATGGGAGGATTAACGCGATTTTGCAGAAGAGGTGACTGTGGCTTATCCAATATCCTGGGAAGAGCTGGAATTGTGGTCGGGTATTTACTGAAGGGTCAAAAGAATGACCGAGGCCAGGCTGAAAAGAGGAGAAACCTAGGCTATTAACAGTGGTGGAGAATTACTGGCCAGAGCTAACCTCTGGGTACTACTTTCTGTACATTTTGTATTTTATGCATTGCATTTTACAAACCGGTGTCACTTTTGAAGTGAGGAAGAGAAGGGAAGGGAATTATTTTTTCAAAGAGAAGTAGTATTGGTTCTCCTAAAAATGGTGATGTCAAAATGTGGTCCCTGGAACAGCATCATCATCACCATCATCATTATACCACCTGGGCACTTGTTAGAAATGCAAATTCTCTGCCTCACCCTAGACTTACTGAATCAGAAACTGGGGGTGGGGTTCAGCCATATGTGTTTTAACAGGCTTTCCAGGTGATTCTCCAAGTTTAAGAACCACTGGCCTGAAAGACCTGGCAGAGATCTGGGAGCCAGGAGGTGCCCAGATCCACCATGGACCTGCAGCCTACTTGCTGAGTCAGCAGACGGAGAACTTTGCTAATGGTCACACCTGTGTTTAAGCCTGATCGGGTGGCTTTTGGCTCAGCTCTTTGACCTAAGTGTTGGTTTCTGCATGTATAAATGGTGACAGCAGCTCCCACCTCACAGGGCATATAAGAGAGGTAAAAGGCCTGACAATTAATAATGTAGTTTCTCTCCTCTCCTCATCGTCCTCCCCTCTCTGAAACTCTGCTTTCCCATTTTTAAAGTGGAGCAGACAAGATCAGAACAACTGACCTACTGAAGGTTCTAAGGGAAATGATCTCACCCACATTTGCTGTTATTTCTCTGCGCCTTTCTTGGAACTCAGCAAGAACTGGGAACTTGCGGGAAGAGAAGACGTGATTTTTGACATTATGACCCAGGACCCAGCACAGAGTCCTGTTCCAGAGTACACCTTAAGTGAATGTTTGTTGAGTGAATCAGTGAGTGAATGAAAGGAGCCCTGGGATTAGAGAACTTCAAATTCCTTTTGAATGATTAGAGGGAAAAAAGGAAAATTGATCAGGAAACCAAGAGGAGACTATAAGGTGAAAGAAAAACTCCCATACAGGAAAGAATTTTTCAAAAGGAAGAAAGGGAGTTTCTGGCATAATTAGAAAATGGCACGTAATTAATTTACATGCAACTCGGCGCGTTGACTGAAATCTGACCGCCCTCAGCTTGCCCACCTGGATCCAGATGATGAAGCTGGCAGGGCTCACCCCTCTTATCTGGGAATCTCCCGTGCCAGGCCTCCTGCTGCTACTAGGAAAATGTCCCATTTACAGGTAGGAGAAAGTGAAGCTGTGAATTGGCAGGCTCGTTGCTGGGGGCTCCCCCCACAAAGTGAGTATTAGTAATAATAATAATAGTTTACGTTATGTGCTTGCACTCTGCTGATCACCCTACCTGCATTATGTCATTGCCCTTTCTGACAGTAATACACAGTTGTTGTGAAGACTGAATAGATAATTGCCTCCATGTTGTGGACAGCATCTGGCACTGGGGAAGTGAATGGTAGTTTTTCCTCAGCGAATGGTAGTTTTTCCTCATAATTCTGTGAAGTCCGTGCTCCCACCTCTCCCCATTTTACAGCAAGAGAATGGAGGCCACAAGGCTAGTAAGGAGCAGAGCTGAAACTGGAAACCCAGGTCTGTAGCTCTGGGCCCCTCTAGAACC